AAGGCAAAACTGCTGCTGAGATTAAAATTTGATTAATTGCACAGTTTTACTAAAGGCTAATCAAAACTCTGTAAGCCCTCCTTGTGGTTGATCGGTTGCTGAAAGATCAGGCACGCCTACTGTGAAGCGTTGAAGCAGTGGGTAAAATATATATATATATATCTGTAATACAGTCCCAATCACTTGTTTGTGATTGGATCGTGAGCGACAATCTTTAAACATTACAGCTTTCACTAGATTAGCATTCACTGTGAGTATCAAAGTATCACGAAAAGATGGAAGTGTGATGTGACATTGCAAAAGATGAATGTAGATGAACGGTTAAAAAAGTGGCATCACTTCACTATCGTCATCTTGATATTTGATACAAAATGTGACGGAAGGATCAATCCGAAGGGAAAACAAAGACACTGCATCCTCATTGGCTGGATTATTATGCTGGATGATCCTCCTTTCTAACTCTAATAATAACTATATTTTACAAAATTGACTTCATGTTTTAATCTATGACCTTAAACTAGTGATTGAGCCTAGGAAGTCATCAGGACGGCATTTACTGAGGTCATGGATCATAGGAGCCCACAGTCATTTCCCCATAGACTTCTATAATCTGGACTTCTTTTTGGAACCACATGAGTCGCCCCCTGTTGGTCATTATAAATACTGATTTAATGTTAAAGGCACTTCTATCTTTCATGCTTTCTTTGGATATTGTAGAGGTTTCTCAAATACAGAAGACATTAAAAAAAAAGCTCAATAAATTTAGAGTGGGTAGTAGCTAATTCCTCCTCTATTGTGCATCTCAGTTTGGAAACCTTTACACTCAGTGGTTATGTATTGTACCTGCTAATAACTTGTTAGCTCCTGCTCTTTGAATATTTTAAACCAACAGGCACAGGCACGCCAGCCGATGCAGCTGCTCCTAAAGAGCATGAGTTAAACAGCAAAACCTACAGGTTTTTTCAGACTGTTCCCACTCTTTGTCCTTTGGGGTTAACCTGCATGTGAAGACAGGGAGAGGGAGGGGGTGGCAAGCTGCGCTAGATGTAAGTGCTGAACGGTCAGTGACCTTGTATTCGCCAGCCAAACAAACCTGGACATTGCGATAGAGACAGCGTGAATGTGCGGTGACACTGATCTGGATGTGGCTGCTGCTGCAACAGGTTAAATACGCTCTGCAGAAAGCACCTGTGAGCACTCCGGGCTGTGCGTGAGTTTATCGTCCCCACAGCTGGAAGAGCATGCACGCAGACTGGTCGGTGCAGTCATTTTCAACATGCAACCATGCAGTCCCCTTGCCACTCGGTGCCCTAGATGAGTCCTTCCACCCTCTTCTTCCCAGCACAGTTTCTGCACCTATTTTGGATTCAAAAACCAGGCCAGGCAGCAGAGCTCAGGGCAGCCGTACATTTCTGTCTCAGCTTTACCGTTCATGCCAAGTTTGTTCGTGCCTCAGAAGCTGGATTGTTACTAATTTAACTGAGCAGCTGTTAAATTAAAAGCGTGCATGTTAGAGAAGAGTCCACTCATAAACATATCTGTACTTTGCTTCTTTTCTTTTCGGAATGGGATTGAGGTTGAGGTAAACAGCACACATCTGTCAAATGTCACTGATATAAATGTGGTAATATCAGTCTGCGGCCATTCATTCAGTCTGCAACTTGGATTTTAGAGCGTAACGATTCAGGCTAATAACGTAACCGGTGGGTTATTTTTAGCCCGTGAAGATGCGCTCAGCAGTGATGGCGATGGTTTCCTCCTCCTCCTACACCACAATGACGTCGTGCTGTTACGCAAAACCAGGGGTTCACCTTTTGTGGACCTACAGCTCCGACACTGCTAGCGTAAATTTCTGGCACAAAACAGGCGCAAGTGCGCAAATAAAACACGAAGAACAACACGAACACATTCCGAGGCGAGGCGGCTTTTAACTTCTGCTTTAGCTTTAATTCCGCATCTGTAACGGCACTTGTCTAAACTTGATGCTGGCACACCCTGGTATGCCCAGAAGCAGGCAGCTGGCTGCCCGGGAGGGCAGCAGGCTTCGGGCATCCCGCATCATCCTGCTCTGGACCCAGTCGGGGTCGCAGCTCCGCTCACCTGGCGCAGCTCTCCACAAAGAAGAAACCCACATTTCAAAAGCACGGCCACTGACATTATCTGACTACACAGAGACACGGAAATGACAGCATGCCACGAACAAAAAGTGGACACTTAACTATTTGTAGAGGTGCTGGAGACACAGGTCGAGGCATTCCCCCTCCACTTCGTCCTCAGACACCAGGTCCGACAAGGGGCGCATCGGCAGCGGGTCGCCCTCCTGCAGAGGCATCTTCATCTCCCGAACAAAGAGCTCCAAGAACCGTCGGAAGGTTTTCTCCTCTGCTGCAGAGCCGGCCATCATTTCTCATTCCTGGACAGACAGAGACAGCTCCGCCCGTCAATACACTAACTTGCCGGGCTAAGAAGAGAAGAGTCAGTACACTAACCGAACTAGTTGGACTGACAGTGCAGTCCCATACTACCTGAATAAATGTGTACTACCGGAGGAGCAGGGCCGTGGACTACCGGCGCGTCTGAAAGCAGCGGACCCGACTGGATGAGCGGACCGTGGCCTCTACGGTTACACTACAGGACGAGTTGTCACAAGCTGGACTGAGCCCCCATTCAGAGCCGAGCGGGAGCGCGCGCCGTGTTATCAGGGATTTCGGATGATCAGAGGGCGGTGACGTCAGAGAGACGACGCCAAAGCGGGGTCGCGAGCGCGCACGCAACGTTGCCTCCTGACGTCCCGAGACCTTTCTGAAGACATGCCATCACGATGAAGGTGATAGGTGTTTAAAGTAAACACGAGTGGAGGAAAGAATTCAGATATTTAACTCGAGTACAACAGTACTAACATATCACAGTCAGAAAGGATTCACTACATACAAACACACACACACACACACACACACACACACACACACAGAGCACTTTATTACAGTTTATACAGAGAACTTTATTATACTATTTAAATGTAGTAGTATTTGTGTGTTTTCATTATGCGAGTTAGTTTTAGTGCTTTTTTTAAATATAACTTTTTCTTAAGTTGTAGTATTCTTGCAGTATTTTTGGGAACAGTACTGTGACTATGTTTCAATTTACAGAATAATTAATATATTTTGAGGAGAGCACGATGGCGTCGTCATTAGCACTCTGCACTCCGCACACAGCAAGAATGTCTTGGGGTTTGGATCCACCATCTGGCCTGGGCCTGTTTGTGTGGAGTTTCTGTGTGTGTGGGTTCTCTCCGGGTACTCCGCCTTTCTCCCACAGTCCAAACACATGCAGTTAGTGAGGTTAGATTAACTGGTGGTTCTAGGTGTGAATGTGAATGTGACTGGTTGTCTGTCTTTCTGTGTTAGCCCTGGCTAGAGACTGAAACGATATACTGTATATATCCACATGATAAAGAAAATAACAGGACTGAAAAGAGCATGTATTTTACTAAACACTGATACCTCAAGCGGGAGTTATGACTTAGTTTTTTTTTATCTGGATTTGAACAAACTGTTTCGAAGTCTTAAATAACTAATACTTGTCTACTTACTTTATTTCCTTTCCCCATGAGCACATCTCTGGCTAAAGTCCGGAATTCCCAGATGATTTCCCTCTTAGGGATCACTTTGGATTAATTTACTTACAGAGTACATTTCCATGGAGAGAATAGCAGCTTACAGAGCTTAGGAGAAATGTTATAACGGTCAGAAGTGATGTACATGATCACAAGTTGCAGGTATAACCTCAATGTCACAGCACACCCAGCCATACACAGAACACAAACACACACATCTCTTCACAGTATATTTTGCAGCAGCTTGATTCATATTCATTAAGAATTAAGGCAGTTCTGAAGGCGAAAGGGGCGTTCAAATCAATAGAGTGTGCTTAATAAAGTGGCCATGAGTGTATATCCAGATAATTACACAGCTGTCTATATGTCTCTCTATATAAAATTGATCAATTCGAGTAGAATAAAAAAACAGAACATTAATGAATATGTTATTTCATCTGAAAGTGTATTTTAGGTCAATCCACTCATCATTTATAACACTAAAAACACATTTTTCCAAAGTAAACAAAAAACATCAAAATTTCAGTACAAGAAAAAACCTCATTGCATTTATGTGACAGCTGCTGTCGCTTAAAGATATTAACAGTTAAATGCAACACAAAAGCAGAGCTAAAACATGAGACTTACTAAAGAAAAAACTTAGAACAAAACTTTAATAATTGTTTATGTTAACTACTTAAAATAGGCAGTTTAATTTTTTAAATTTGTATTTTTTTATTTTTTTATTTATTTTTTTACAAATTAAAATTTCAGTCTCACATCATTCCTACGGTTTATATTTTGACAGTATGGTTTTGCTTTACTTTTATTTATTGATTTTACAAATTTAAAATTTATTTGATTTTTTTTTACATCTGAATTAATATTTTTGTCAATTAAGGTTATTATTAACTAAAACTAAAAAATAACACTAAAACCAAGTATGAAAATAAAAAACACACACAAAGAAAACTGTTTAGTTAATGGAAAAAAGTAATTAATTTGAAAAAGAAATTAGAAAAAAGGAAACAAAAACAACTGAAAGCACATCTTGTTATTATCAAAATAACTCAAATTAAATTAAAAAAAATTTTTAAATTTAGTCTTTGGTCACTAACAGCACTAGGAGAGTTTGCGGTGAATGTTTAATAAGACTGGGATGATGATAAAGAAAACCTAAACTACTGTCTTCTTCTTTCTTTAGCAGTTCCTTTTTAGTGGATCGTCTTCCTCCTGGTATGCTCCCATCCTAGGACAATAGCTGAAACCGAACAAATAAAATAAAATAAAATAAAATAAAAACACAATTTAATAACTCTGTGACACAAACAGTGGTTTAAATTGGGAAGAGGAACGTTAAAGCTAATGCTGCACTGACTCGGACATTTTAGTACAAGGAACCGGAAATGATAGGGGAAAAGAGTCCGGGGTTGTTTTCATTCCCCTGGTTTTCAACATGAAGGAAGCAAACATGGCTCGTCCCGTCAGTGTGGGGGATCTACTACAAGCGGAGCTCTTAGAGGACGCTGCTTACCGGGAAGAGGGGCTGTGTGTGGTCGGTATTTTCGGTAAAAGCAACATGCAGCCCGGCGCGCTGAAGGAATCTCTGATCAACACACTGGCGGACAAACACCTTTTCTCGGTGTTCGGCGGACCGGAGGACGGCGGCACGCCTAGCAGCCACATCCAGGCTTTTTACGACCAGGAGAACCGGGTGCTGTACCTCCTGCTCTCCTCCGTCTGCGACAGCCGACAGCTGCTGCGAGCCTGCCTGTCTCTGGACACCGGGAACGGACACTCGGACGCCCACGACTTCTGGAAGGGCCTGGAGCGGCAGCACTGTCTCCACCTGCTCTACATGTTCTCCGTGTGTCACGTCCTGTTGCTCGTCCACCCCAACCAGACCTTCGACGTGACCTACGACCGGCTCTTCCGAGCTCTGGACGCTCTGCGGCAGAAGGTTCTGCCTCTGATCCGGGCTGCCATCAAAGACTCCCCGGTGTCTAAAGAGTGGAAGCTGAACTGCCGGCCCTGCCCCCCACGGCTCCTCTTCGTCTTCCAGATGAACGTCACTCTGAAGGTCTGCTCTCTAACAAGTCCTTATTCGCTCTCATTTATATATGCACTTTATATTAAAACTTAAATATTGTTATGTATTTTAATATAGTTACACTGCTGTGAAAAAGTCTTTTCACCTTTCCTGATTTCTTTGGGGGTGGTTTTGGCATATTTGTCACACTTACATGCTTCAGATCATTTAAAAAATGAACATTAGATAAAGATAACCCGAGTTGACACAAAATGCTGCTTTAAAGTTATGATTTCATTTATAAGGGGGAAAAAAAGTTATCCAAACCTACATAGGCCTTGTGTGATAAAGGAATTGCTCCCTAAACCTAATAACTAATGTGCAAACCTTTGCAGCAAGAACTGCAATCAAGCATTTATGATAACTGGCAATGAGTCTTTAATTGTTTTCATTGTTCAGCAGTGTTTTTCTCCTTTGAACCCCTTCATTAATGCTATTTTTGCCCAGTCTCTTTCCTACTGTTGAATCATTACCTCTGACCTTAACTGAGGTAAGTGAGGCCTGCAGTTCTTTAGTTGTTGTTCTGGGTTCTTTTGGGACCTGCTGGAAGATTCATTGATGTGTTCTTGGATTCATTTCGGTAGATTCAACATGCCTAGGAAGTCCCCCCAGGAGTCCCAAAGCCTTAACTCTTTTCAGACAGATAGCCGTCAATGACTTTGTTTCTCAGCTGTTTCTTTAGATTGTGGCATAACATGTTGCTTTTTGAGATCTTTTAACCTGCTTATTTTTTTGTCAGACAGGTTCTGGTCTGGCAGTAATTCAGCCTGAGTGTGGCTGAAAATGTGACTAATTGCAGTTAATTCATGAGTCAACAAGGGACAATTACTTTTCCCTTAATAACTGAAATCATGATTTAAGAACTGCATTTTGTCTTTACTTGAGTTATCTAATAACCAATTATAAAACCATTTGTTTGATCTGAAACATTTCAGTGTGACAAACATGCAAAAAAAAACCAGAAAATCAGGTCAATATGTTTTGATGGCACTGTTTTTTGAATTTGGACTTTAAGTAAAATTATGACAGTTCAAGTCCATAGGAAATTTTGCAAAAATGTTTCAGAAACTGTCAAATTTTTCTTTAAAAAATGGTCACGCCATATAAGAACTCAGGGCAGCCATATGAATACAAATGATGTTGTCTTTGTTCGTTATTCTAAAGGTTTCTGCAAACGGCTTAGAGTCAAATCCTGACAAACCAAAGAAGCACTCCCCCAGGCGGAGGCTTCAACACGCCTTGGAAGACCAGATTTATCGCATCTTCCGTAAAAGCCGAGTTCTCACCAACCAGAGTAGCAACTGCTTGTTCACGGTGCCCGCCAACCAAGCGTTTGTGTACGTGATCCCAGCACTAGATGAGGACCCCTTAGGTGCATTACTCGGTCAGCTGCGGTCCAACTGCATGTTGTCTGAGCAGGACTCCTCCGTGCCCGTGTCGGGGCCGAGGCGCTATCAGCAGATGCGGCATTCAGCCCGGCACCCCAGCAGCAGCAGAGACTCAGGCAGCATATCGATAGGCAGTCAGCTGGTGGACTGCAGCTTAAAGGAATTCCTCTGGCAGCATGTCGACCTGGTGCTCACCAAAAAAGGTTTTGATGACAGCGTCGGCCGCAACCCGCAGCCTTCGCACTTTGAGCTGCCGACCTACACCAAATGGGTCCAGGTCGCCTCCAGACTCCACCAAGTCCTCATCAAAAACACAGATGAAGAAATGGCTGAGCTAGCCACAAAAGTGCAAAGCCAGGTGAAGGTTTTGGAGGGTTTTCTTGACGCTGACACAAAGTTCTCTGAGAACAGGTGCCAAAAAGCGCTGCCTCTGGCTCACAGCGCCTACCAGTCCAACCTCCCCCATAACTACACCACCACGGTCCATAAAAACCAGTTGGCTCACGCTCTGCGGGTGTACAGCCAGCACGCTCGAGGAGTGGCTTTCCAACGCTACGCTTTGCAGCTTCACGAGGACTGCTACAACTTTTGGAGCAACGGACACCAGCTGTGTGAGGAGCGAAGTCTGACTGACCAGCACTGTGTTCACAAGTTCCACCTGCTGCCTCAGCCAGGTGAGCGCATCATCTTCCTCTGCACAAGTTTGAGGAGGGCCCCTTTAATGCACTTTTTTTTCATTGACTGTTTCACATAATTGTCGTAGCTCTAACACTGAAATAAAATAAAAGCCAAAAGTGTGAAATCTGACACTTAATTCCACAGGAGAGAAGCCTGACATGGATCACAACCCACCAATCATGAATCACAACAGTAGGGGGCGCTCCACCAGCTCCTGTAACTGTGGACGGAAACAAGCTCCCCGTGAGGATCCTTTTGACATCCAGGCAGCAAATTACGACTTCTACCAGGTCAGGATTTACTCCACATGGGTCCTGCTGAGGACCACAGAGGGGCACAGGCTCTCTGCTCTGTCAGTGTTTCTACATACAGCTGTGAAAGACTCAGTCAGACACAAAATTTTGAGGGAAATATCTCACTCTGTAGCTGATAACAGCTCCATTATCAGCTCAGGTAGTACACTGTGCGCTTTTAGAGATTTTCTTATTGAAAATTGTCAAAAATGCCTGTAAGAGCCACGAGAGTGAAGCAAAAACAGAAATGTCATCCGGTTGCAGATTTATGGTCCATCGCTACGAGATTATCCCTCCACATTGTTCAGTTTTCTCGTGTCATTATAAAAACACTGTGTTTTTAAATTGTATATCTAAAACACAACATGTAATCACTCACACGTATTTGCTTGTTAACTGTCTTTTTCCTGAATAGATACTGGAGGAGAAATGCTGTGGGAAGCTAGAGAGGATTGAGTTTCCAGTGTTCCAGCCCAGCACTCCTGACCCGGCCCCGGCAAACCAGGCTCAGAGAAACCCCTGTGAGGCTTCAGGATCGGGTGATGCAGAGAGGTTGAAGGAGCCCAGCACTGCCCAGAGCCACACGCCTGGAGACACCAGCCTTAGCCTCGCTCTTAGTCTAGGCCAGTCTACAGACAGCCTGGGGCCCTACGGGGACGGAGACGGAGCTGAAACACAAGTCCAGCAAAAGAGGCCGAGCCTTGTTGACCGGCAGCCTTCCACTGTGGAGTACCTTCCTGGAATGATGCACTCTGGCTGCCCTAAAGGTCTCCTCCCTAAATTCTCCAGCTGGTCACTGGTGAAACTTGGCCCAGCAAAGTCGTATAACTGCCACACGGGCCTGGAGCAGCCAGGTTTCCTCCCTGGCTCCTCGTTCCTCTTGCCGTGGGACTTGGTGATTCGCTCCCGATCGGAGGAAGATACAGGACTAACGGAGCCTTTGGACGGAGGCACGTCCTCGTGGCCAGCCCCCAACAAGACCCTTGTGGGAAAGCGAGGCAGCACCGGTGGGCTCGGTAGGAGTCGCAGGAGGGAAGACATGGCTCGCATCTTTGTGGGGTTCGAGTATGAAGACGGCAGGGGGAGACGCTTCATCAGCTGCGGGCCTGATAAAGTAGTGAAGGTGCTGGGGCCGGGGGGTGCTAAAGATCCTGCCACCAGGGTGCTAAACACCGACATGCCGCTGCACATCCCTTCTCCCTCCCAGGGCCGTGGCCTGAAGCCCCACTTCGCCCAGTTGGCTCGCCTTTTTGTTGTAGTGCCTGACGCCCCGCTGGAGGTTACCCTCAACCCACAGGTAAGCAGCAGGAGGAGACTCCAAGTCATCTCCAAACAGGGGTGCACCTGATGATGATTTAATGGACTCTTATCTACTGTTTATTTTCTCAGATGCTTTTGCTCCTATAGCAAAGGTTTGTTTTTTCCAACCACGAGTCTGATTTTTCAGCGATGTAAACAAAAACTCTTTTAAAAAGGGGGATTCATTTTCTGTCTGTTTTCAGTGAGTCAGCTAATTCTTTCAGCAATATGTCCATGATCATTATGTCTGGGACTCTGTAAAAGCTAAAGTTACAGTTCAAAGCTAAACTTTTAATCTTTTTTTTTCTCAGCTGGAAAAGGTTGGAGTGTGCGATCTAAGTCGGGGACAAATTGCCACAGAAAGTGGAGGAGTTTAGGTGTCTCAGGGTCTTATTCCCAAATGAGGGAAGCATTAGATTGACAGACGGATTGGAGCTCTGCTGGTCCATTGTAGTCAAGAGAGAGCTGAGTGTAACCTATAGTTGCGAACGCTGGGTAGAGACAGAAAAAAATGAGGTCGCAGATACAAGGGGTGGAAATGAGTTTCCTTTGAAGGGTGACTGGGGTTTCCCTTAAAGACCCAAACCAAGCAAGAACCTATTGCGCTGTTCAGTTCATTGTTCAACAACAGGAATGTATCACAAAATGTGCAAAGAAAAGGTTAAGATATCTGCAGCATGTCACTATTTAGGCAGGTATGAAAACTAAAATGAGCATGTCACAGTTTTAATAAAGACAAACCTTCAGATTTGGATGTAGTTGCAGATTCTGTTGCCCTTTAACACATATATGGTGCATATATATAACAAAGAGGAGTGAAGTCTGCCAAATGATTAATAAAGGCAACTCAAGCTGCTCTGCATCATACACTAAATTGCCTCATCCATCCATCCTGCTCTTATCTGAGGTCAGGCTGCAGATGCAGTAGGCCAAACAGATCATTTCAGGCGTCCTCAGCTGTACTTTCCACTTTCTTCTGGGTAATCCTAGGCTTTTCCAGCCAAGATCTTAGTAAGTTCTGGGTCTGCATCAGGGTTTCCTCCCAGTTAGGAGGCATCCTAAGCAGATGCCTAAACCACCTCAGCTGGTTTCTTTTGACACAGCTCTACTCCAAGCCCAGACACTCTAGTGAATAAACAACTTTACTCTTTTGGTCACTACATGCCTCATTCTTGACCAAAAAAGCAGCAAAATTTCCCATCTCTCCATTGCTGCCTCCTGTTTGAACCTCTCCACTACCCCAGTATCCACCTGTAACCTGTTAACGTGACAATTTTGAAGCCTAGATTTTCAGTTGTGTGGCTAAATTTTTAGGGTTCAGCACTGAATAACATCGTCTTTTGTCCTCTGCTGTGATTTCAGGTACAGCCAGGCCCTCCTCCCTGTCCGATCTTCCACCCAGAGCAGACTGAAATATCGTTGCCACCTGATGGCCTATGGGTGCTGCGGTTTCCTTATTCCTATGCCACAGAGCGTGGTCCCTGTTACCCCCCCAAAGAGAACCAGCCCCTCAACAACTACAAGGTGCTGCGAGGCATCCTGAAAGCCACCACTGCCACCTCTCCACAACAATAACCCTTAAGGTTTTATTCAGGACTCCACCTTTGCAGACCCTCCCAGTGTTGTTTCTGTACATTCTGTATATTTGCGGACACTGCAGATATTTCCTTTTTTGTTGACATCTTTTACTCTGGATTTCAATGAAATGACATGTGGACGTGCATGGTCTCCACAGATAAGCATTTGCACACATGCTCTGGTGTATGTGAGACCGTATTAGCTGCTCTCTAAACCGTGTTTAGTGTCAAATCCATTCATGCAATACTGTGTTGCATTTACCTGTCCCAGTGCAGACACAAATGCTGGTGTGGTCGAATGTCTCCTCACCAAATCCACAGAGAAAGTTTGTGTTGAAGTGGGCTATTTCCCAAGTGTGAAAAATAATTTGATCTGTCTCAACTGAATATGTGACAACAGCTTTGTACACCTACAGATTTGGACCACTGGTTCTCAGACTGTGAGGCACATTTAAGCAGAGAAAAAAAAGGCTTTAAATTAAGACTTGGATTATTTTATATTTTTATCAGTAAATAAAAATTGCAAAATGTGACTGTTTTTTTTTTTTTGGCTTGTGCACAAGGATGTGCTAGAAAAAAGTTTGAGAAGTGATTTAAAATAACTTATTTTCACTTTTTTTTTGCTCCCCAGAAGACAGCTCAATGTTGCAGTGACATTAAGCTTCTCATTTGAAGCTTGAGCACAATAATAGCACCAGGAAAAACTTCCTTCAAACTTAACATGAGGGGGTGTGGATCCTGTGGTAGCTGTTTGCAGCTAAGCTTAGCTAAATTTCCAGTACCAGCATCCCTGCACATTCACGCTGGCAGGCTTTAATAATGATGTAAATTTTCCTGTCACTTGTCAAACAGTGAAGCTCTCATTAGAGCAGAGACTAGAGTCGACTGTGTACGTCTGAACTTGTGTTTATTTTGTTTCAGTTTGTAAAGATATCACAACACACTATTGCTCACAAACAAAGATTTAATACACTCGAACTAAACGGAAAGACGTTTTTTGTTTTTTCTGTGTAAATAAAGGCGACTCGGACATTCTGTTTCATGTTATTGGAGGTAATTTTTTTCCTCAGTGTTGTAGATGTTAAGAAAGCAAGTGCAAAAAAAAAAAAATACTCAGTTACACTTTTAGAAGTATTAATTTCCTCTTTTGATGTCAAAACAGAACTTCTTGAGTCACCTGTAACTTCTTTACAATTCACCAGGAAAATAGGTGAAAACATTCTAAAGGAATTACATTAAATAAGGTAAAACAGAATCTAAATTCTAAGATTGAACGTCAGTGTTTGTAATGACCACATTTATTCTTCAACACAGCCTGAACTTTCTTAGGGAAGCTTTCCTGTAATTCCTTTAAGCAGTCTTCAGGAATAGTTCTCCGGGCTTCTTGAAGGACATTCAAAGCTCTTCTTTGAATTTTGGCTGCCTTTTGTTGGCTTCTCCAGCCCCCCTTGTGACCCTGAAAAGAATAAGCAGAAGAGAATAAATGGATGAACGGATTCATCACTCCATCACAGCTGTCGCTGCTGATTTTTAGTCCAGCTCTTGTGTAAATTGGCATACCTCAGACTTTCCCTGTTTCCCTTTCTTAAGAATGGCTTCTTGACAGCCACCTTTCCACTGAGACCATTTCTGATGAGGCTTCAGTGAACAGTTGATGGATCAGCTGAAGGGCCAGGTGCATCTCTCAGGTCCTGTGTGATGTCTTTGTTGGATTCTTTTTCCTGTTTCAAAAGAACACGACCTTCAGACACTGTTCATTTTAAGCTTGCCACTTCTTTTTTTGGTCCTCCACTTTTCCCATTTCTTCAAATTCCTTAAGGACACAGTGCACACCATGCCAAGATATAGAACATTTTAACACTTTCCCTCATGAAAATGACATTTGACAACCTCTCTGAACCCTTAATGAGTTTGAGTTAATGACACCTCAGTATTATGACAAAGGGAAGTGCATTAGATCACAACATTAGAATAGTTACTGGGTTTTTACAAGGTTAGCTGCATAGGCAGAGACCACCCTCACTAACTTCTGATACTTCATTTTGTTTTATAAGCAGGTCTGAAATATAACAGAAACCTGACAGAAAGCTCAGAAAAGAGCTTCAAATATGACTCCTAGCTGGCTTTCAAGGGGTAAAGAGTATTAAATTGATGAGAAAGTCTGTCTCCACGGAAGCAAAATATAAAGAAATTAGACTTTTGCACACTACTGATATGATAGATCATGTCAGGAATACCACTAAGACTAACATCTTTAGAGGAGAAGCTTAATTTTCCAGGTAGGTTGTGTTTGGTTTCATGAATAGCAGTACACTTTACGTCCACTAGGTGGAGCTGGATTCTTTGGGACATATTTTCACTAAACTGTAGGTTCCCACACTCATAAAAAAAGCGACTTGGACAATTTATGTGCTTCATCTTACAGAAGAATTTAGGACGTCAAATCCATAATTTTCTTCGATATACGTTTCTTTATACTTTTAACTATGTTTTTTTCCATTACATTTGTCTGACACAGTTCAAACTTTACAAAAAGAAAACACGATGTGCTTATAAAACAGAGACAGCACAATAGTATAATCAGACCACTCGGCTTCTGATTGTTCACAAAAATCAGTGCATAGTTTGTGTCCTTCAACACATTTTATATGTTTGTGAGTTGGTAGTTGTCAGAATACCTTTTAAATGTTTCAAGTGGTTTAATTTAAATCACTCCCAGACACTCGGACAAAAGTACAAAAACAGGTTTGTTAATTAGTACTTAGAATTTTCTTTTTCCTTTTCCCAGTAATCATCACACAACCTCTGAAAATGACCTCATGGCCCTTTAGGGCATCATGCTGTAGTCTGGTGGACACAGAAGTAGCAGTAAAAAAAAAGCTTCTTGAAGACAGTTTTACATGTGTTTCTGACTGTTTCTGACAATATTTCTGTACTTAAACTTCACAGAAAGAATGCAGGTGCATGCAGATGACAGGTTAAAAACAGTAGTTTTCTTTGTGTGTGGGAATCTCATCTGCATTTTAACACACTCTGATTCTCAGATTTTCTCTTGGATAACAGAGAACCAGGAAGTTAATGGGCAATCTAGCTCACACACATAACCTTCAGGAATGTGCACACTAACAGGGAGGTTAATAACAAAGCCAAAGACACTGATTCAAGGTCATAAAGATTCAAGGGAACACTCAAATCTGACCACTTCAGTTCAGTTAAATTTTACATTCACTGACACATTAACAGATTTTTACAATTCAAGTGACTCTTAATTTTTTTTGCTACTTTTAAGAGTACCTTTTAAACTCATCTCACTGATAACACATCATTTGAAACTAAACACAATTTTACTTTTTCTCTCTTTAACCGACACCTAACAACCTTTCAGGACTTTCTCTGACCTTCTGCTGTCTCACTTTTTAACTCACACTTCACCTGCTTGAATTTTGATTGGCTATTAGGTCATAACAAAGTCAGTCACCTGAACTTTTCTTTTGATGCAGAGTCAGGCCTGTGAGTATTTTGCTTTTGATTCATGTCATGCCTAAACAGCAGAAGTCTGATTTCCTTTAGCTCAGTTAACCAGACTAGTGATGTGGTCCCTCAATCCTAAAACTTAAAGAAGCATCCACAGTTTTTCTGATGTCTTCTCCTTTTTCCATATGAGTAGGAGAACAGTTGGTCCATCACAGCTGGTCGAATTTAGTGGAAGTGAAGAATATTTCCAAAACATTTTGATCCATCAAAACAAGACTTGGTACGTGGAGCACATAGACTGTATATAAAAGATAGAAATGTACGCGGCGGTGCCTTGAAGCTGCATTCTTTCTGATGGCCAGCATGGGGCATCAAGTTGTATCCAAGTCTATAGGTTCCTTTGACTCCCTCACTCTGTGACCTCATTAAACTCAAATGTGATGAGTTTATGATCTTAATCATTAGTTTCAGGTCCTTGAGTACAGTATGATGGTTTTTTAGTAAATTATTATGAAAACATAATTTACTACAAAAATGCTCAGCTTGAATGCTTTACTGTGCTTTATCAGTGCGTGAAGTGACAGATGCCATCTTTTGTATACAGTCTATGGCATGAAGTCTGGCTCCCATTTATTGAGAAATATAAAATGAATAGATAAATAACTGACCATGAGGATGTGCTACAATGAATAAAATCCCACTATGGCATACTAATTGAAGCTATAGCAGTATGTTTACCTTTAAAAGGATTTACATTTCTTGAGGGTCAAAAACATTTTTATACAAATGTTTTATAAATTGTATGAAAACAATTTTTGCATCCACATGTTGACATTTCAGATTATGGTTTCAATTTTGAGTCTTTTTTTTTTTTCCAGAAGTTTGAGTTGTATATCAGTTGTATGTATGTCAGACATACATTTACCAACATTTACTTTCCATAACCACTGACAGTGTGAGGTGTTCTGTAGTAAACTGGACAAACCAACATAACTGACTCCGAGGCATCAGCATTGCACTTTTTAAAAGTGTGTTTTCTAAAATGTCTTTCATGCTTGATTATAAATTAAAAGTCAGTGCTGTAGTGCAGACATTAGCTCTGCTGCTTTGAATGTACTGGTGTTAAAATGTGTAGCAGACATCTGACGATGAGTCACTGAAATGACTTTTATGGAAAACACAAAAAAGCCATTGTACCTGCCAAATCATTAACTAACATTACTGTTGCTGTACTTTTATTATGAGTATTATACTGTAGGAGTAACAAGCTGGAGATCTTTTACAGTCTATAGAAATTCACTTACTATTTGATTCTGTCTCAAATGGCCACCAGTGGAACTGCAGTCTAAGTCTAAAATCTATAAGTTTTTATATATTAATATATAAATTTGTGAAGGGAAAAAAGTTAAAACTCATTTTTTAATGTTAGAAAATGTCCACAAGGGTGCACTGATCCATCCCAGGCTGACATGTTTAAAGGTTTACTGACTCAACAGGTGCAAACATTTGTAACAGTTGGATTTGTTTTTGTGTTGCACTACAAAGGATGCGGCATTGGGTTAATAAAGTGACAACAATGTACAACAGTTTTCACTTTGACGAGAGTATTACTTATTTGACAGCTACTTATTATTAATTGTTTGCAGTATTTTGACATGAAGCTTTCTGCACTGTTTTGGTGCTGATTTGGTGTCAAATTTCCTTAGCACTATTTATTTTCAGTTACAGCCTGAGGGCTGGATTTAGACAGACCACCTTTTATTCGTTTTAACTGAAAATGTCCTTCAGAGAAGTTCTGCGAGCAGTAAATCTGGGCATGTGTGTAAAGCAACAACATACATAAAAGCAGCAAAACAAACTTGAATGTTGTCCTTACCTGCGGACAGGTAGAGGAGGTGGATGAGGGGGAAAGGAAAAGCCAGCCCACATTCAGATCACAGTTAACAGCCAAGCTTTGTCTCCCATTTCTGATCTACCACTGAAAACCACTGTGCCAAAGTTCAGATCTCACAGGTGGGCACAATAGGCGAAAGAAGACACTGAACTACATGTTCGCGGGCAGCTTCATCTTGCAGATTGTGTCAGAGACAAGTGAAAGCAAATATCTGGGACTATTCAACAAGGCAAGACAAAAGGATGTGAGTAAAATACAGATTTATGAAGTAATTAATGATTATTTAAAGTTATGGCAGGTGCTCTCTGGTTTCTGTAATGGTTTACTACCGAGTTAACTTTCAACCTTGTCTAGCAGTACTCTGTAATAGCAGCATGTCATTATACATCATGTGGGGTTTTAAAAATATATATGTATTCCATTCATTAAATGATTATTTTGTCACATTGTTGGATTTTACTCTACTGTGAATACAAATTATGCTTAACTTTGAAAGAGCATACCAGGGTTTTTACATGCTTTGCCTTATGAGACTAACTGAGTCCATTAATTAATGTAAAACTGTATATTTTTGAGGAACTGGAGTGTTTTTGTTATATTTTCCTATATTTCACAGCTACTCTTTCATTTTTACACTTGTCATGAGACTGTTTTAAATATCTAACACTTCCTTAATGATTAATTATGTAATTTTCCCATTGAGACTGACCTCTATTCACACTAGCTTTCAGCTTTAAAGTAGTTAAATTAAAACCAGTCTTCACAATCTGTTTACCTTTGACTCTTAATACAACATCCATTGATAGATCTACTTCATTTATGACTTGATTAGGTTCGTCTGCTATTGTTACATGACTTTTTCCACTTCAGTCGGCTATTCTTTTCCCTAATTTATACTTATATAGATAAAAAATATCTTTTAGGACAAGGGTTTCAAATAATAGGACCAATCTGGCCCATTTGATGGTATTAAAACTGTGAAGGAGGGAGTAATCGTTTGACTTTTAACTATATTTTTATAGTTTTGCAGCTTTCGCTTCTGATAAAGATCATCCCCATGGCCATCCATATTGCACCAAATAAATTATATAATAGATGAAATAACAGAACACTTCCTTTTTTCTTCTTTCAGTAAAAAAAACAGCACTGTGAATTAACAAAAACGTTGTGTTATTACATTCTGGACAAAAACTATACTACGATATACTACTGACATTGCACTTCTTTTCCTTACATTAATATACTATCTCAGGGATTAGTTGTACAGTTAAACATCTTTACACTGATACAGAGTAGCCTGGTCCAGTCAAAGTGGGCTGTATGTGGCTCACAATGAAAAAAGTTATCTTTACATTTTCTTCAGAATTAAAAAAAAAAAAACTAGATGTGATCAATGATCCAAGTCAGTTCTTTGCCTGCAAATTATTTTTTAAGAATAAGCAAATGACTATAATTCTGTGCCTGTTTCTTTTTGCCTAGAATTAGGGCTGATAACAGCTTCTTATTTGAATGCTAAATAGATAGTTAGCCTAGCGGAGAAACAGTTACCTATCTCTATCTAAACGTAAAAAAACAAACAAGAAAAAATATTAAAATCAACACATAAGATTCTTATACAATCTGGAACATGAACTATCTATGCTATATTTGCTTAGACTTGGGTAAAAAGCTGTGAGTTTCATATCTATATGCGTCACATAGCCATAGCTTGGCTTAGCTGGGACTCACGAAACTGAAAAAAAAGCTATCTGGTTACTATTTTACTATTAAAAAAGTCATTTTGATTATTAAATTAAAAATAAAAAGATAAAAGGTGATGAATTACTTAAAAGTTGCATATATCTAAATATCTTATTTCTGAGTAAGTTCAAATTTTAAGTTAATAAATAGAAATTTAAAGATGCGTAACTTGAAACTTATTGCATTAAAAATTTCAGATACTAATCCAAATTTTTTTGGATAAAAGCTTGAAATAAATGGCTTCACCTTTAGCGGTTAATTATTTACATTTCATATTTGTGTTATTTTACAATAACTCCAAACATAGGCTTGCAGATTTATTTTATTTTATCTGCAGTAAAGTTAGGGTGTTAAGTAGAATGAAATTAAAATTAAAGTACCTCAATTATACTTACAAGTACTTTATCAAATCCACTTACTGGCTGTACCACAACTAGATAGTATTGAATGTGTTCCCTAACTATATCAACAGAACACAGTGAAGGGATAATTTCTTTTGGAGTTTTATGTTAGTTGATACTTAAAATATTAAAAGTTTAAATCATAAATGGGTATTTGTTCTTTAATCAGTTCCAGTCAAAACCTGGTGACCTGTACAGAAGGAACACTGTGTTATTTTTAGCGAAACTTAGAAGTACCGACAGAGGCCAAAAACTCATTAAGAAAGTGTTTGCTAAGGCCATAAAACAACTAGAAGATAGAACCATTCTATCATAGACTTCAATACAAGTAAACTTTACATTGGCCTCGCTTTTCAGACCTGGAAGCTATGTCAACCTTTTATATACTGTCAGTGATAACACAATTGGTAAAGTATAGCTCATAAAAAAGTATATATATAATGTCTCAAAATCTTTACAGTTGCTTTGATAACAACTCTGTACACCTTATCATCAAGTTCTAACACATAAGCGACCATCAGATCGCTATGATACTCCCTCTAAATCTAAATAAAACTGAACTGAAAAATTATTTCAGTTGGGTTTTGCTCCGTTCGAATTTCCTTGCGCATACTGCTGCAGCCAATGCATCTCACAAAGCACAACTTTTTACTTTGAAGGAAAACATTCTCTATTTCCAGTTTTACTGCTGCTCAACATCTTTTTGCAGACAAGTTGGTGTCTTATGTGCTAATTATGGGTAACTGTGGCAATCTCCTCCCAAACAAAGGAGTATTGAATACCCCTTCAGGATTTTACAGCAACCACTCTCTAGCTTGTCAGAGAACACACTTTTGCCTAGCAACCAGGTTGCCAGAGCATCACTGAAAGGTCCAAAGGCTTGCCTGAATGGAGCACTAATGGTGACTACAAGAATACTTTAGCAACCACTTGCTAGCTGGTTAAGGAATACACATTTTTCCCTTGTGAATGGTAGATGTTAGATGGTTGCCAACTGGTCTTTAGGGTTTTGTAACTGGGGAGTAAGACTCACCTGTTAACTCAAAGCTGTTCAAAGGTGCCACTTTCATGAGGCAGATTAGGGCAAGGGGTCAAGACAACCTGGCTACTTTAACAAGCCTTCAGGGTTTTTTCCCACATTACAGAAAACAGTATAAATAAGTAAAAGCCCTTGAATTGGTTGCCATCTCCACTGATTTGACTGGTGCTACAGCTCAAAGTGAGATATTAATTAATATCTTTTATCTCTTTTGCCAGACCTTCAATTGGCAATGCCAAACTAAAACCTCAGAAGTGACCTTCAGTTTGAATTGACCCAGAGCATCATGGCTAAAGGGAATAAAGATTTCCAGCGAAGGATTGTGTCCAAGGATGGGCACAACATGGTAAGGATCGATAACGTGGAGGGCATGGTCAAGCTGTACCTGCACGACATTTGGACGACTGTGGTGGACATGAAATGGCGCTACAAACTCACCTTATTTGCCTCCACCTTTGTCATGACCTGGTTCATCTTTGGGGTCATCTTTTACTTCATTGGAATGGGCAACGGAGACTTTGAGCCCGATTTAAATTCTACCCACACTCCATGCCTGATGAACGTGGAAACGCTCACTGGAGCCTTCCTCTTCTCTCTAGAGTCACAGACCACCATTGGTTATGGTTTTCGTTACATCTCTGAAGAATGCCCTCTGGCCATCTTTACTCTGGTGGCTCAGCTTGTCATCACTGGACTGGCTGAGATCTTCGTTACTGGTGCCTTTCTGGCCAAACTAGCTAGACCCAAGAAGCGAGCAGAGACCATCAAGTTCAGCCAGGTAGCGGTGATCTGCAAGCACCAAGGAAAGCTGTGTCTGATGGTGAGGGTGGCCAACATGAGGAAGAGCCTCCTGATCCAGTGCCAGCTAACAGGAAAGCTCCTTCAACCCTACGTGACTGAGGAGGGCGAGAAGACGCAAGTCCATCAGAGTTCTGTTGATTTCAACATGGACTCGGGTGGCGAGTGCCCCTTCCTTATCCTCCCTCTCACCTTCTATCACGTCCTAGACCAGCACAGCCCGCTGGCAGGACTGACGGCAGAAAACCTGGAAACGCGTAGGTTTGAGTTGCTCATCACCCTCAATGCCACCATGGAGTCAACGGCAGCCACGTGTCAGAGACGTACCTCCTACATCCCTGACGAGATCCTGTGGGGTTATGAGTTCAAACCGGTGCTGTATAGCACCCCCAGTGGACGCTTTGTGGCAGACTTCAACTTTTTTGACAAGGTGCAAAAGAGCAGTGATCCAGACATCCACAGCGACAGTTCAGAAAAGCTGAAACTCGAGAGGGACTTCAGGGAGGAATAGAGGATCTTAATAATTACTGTTAATTGACCTGAGGCTCAGCCACTGTGTTAATGTCCCTTACAGCTATGACCTTTGATTTAAACGCGTAAAATGTTTATTTTGAATCATATAAAAGTGATTTTTTAACAGTGCTTCAAACTGTAAAGTACACTTTTAAGAAGACTAGAAACCTGACATGTGTTCACTGTAAAATTCTGTTTATTCGTTTAATCATTATGATGTTTTTTTGTATCAATATTCAAGTTAAATTAATTAAATGTACCAGAATGAAGGGCTAACAGTCCTGTATGATTCTTTCATTTGGGTTTTAATAATGGGAGCAGAGATGGGCAGTAACGTGCTACAAGTAACTGTAATCTGATTACTTTTTTCAAGTAACGAGTAAGTAAGGGATTACTATTGCAAAAAAGGTAATTAGATTACGTTACTTTCCCATAAGCACGCTGCTTTACTAAAACCGTGATTCTTTTGTGAGTGTCTCATGACAATGATGTAAGCAACTGTGACTTGGCAACAGCTGTGTGCAGATCAAGAATGGATAATATAACGAGTGTGGGAGAGAGTATGAGTGTGTAGCCGTGGAAGTACTGACCTTACTTTGAGTTTGATTCCGTAAAAAGTGACAAAAACATTAGCGTCCACTGCTCACTGCGTGGGAATAAAACTTCTTTTTACAGCCCTTAACTTCCGAGCAAGCACTGAGTGCGCTACCACGGAATGTGAAATTCACAGACAAACTCGCGGATTCTTCCACTGACCGCTGCAACACACCTGCACCAGGGCAAACCTCCGCCTATGCCACTCCGGCTATACAGGTGAAAATAGAGCAACTAGACCGCTAGTCTTTGATTTTATTTATTTTCTGCTGTGTTTTACTTGCATCTATTTGAAAGACTGAGTGTAAACACAAAAAAATATTTTATTTTATATGCAGGAATGTGCAGAAAATAGGTTTAAATGTTAAACAAATTTCTTCCAGTCAGAGAATGTTGCATATAATTTAATGTTTGCTTGATGCATAAAGTTAAAAGATTAAAACGAATAAAACAAATTTTAAAAAGAGACTTTTCCATTTGATTACATTTTATATGATGGATTAGGTAGAAAGTAGAATTGGGCTGAAAGATCTATCACTTTATCACCTATTCAGGTTGTAAATCATGTTTTTAAAAAGTAACTAAGTAACTAATTACTTTTGAAAATAGGTAATCTGTAAAGTAATGGGATTACTTTTGGGGAAAGTAATTAGTAATTAGTAAGTGATTACTTTTTTCAAGTAACTTGACCAACACTGAATGGGTCTCTTTATTAATGCTTTTGAAGACCTTTTTAGAATGAATAGAATGTTAAGTTATACACCGATAAAGTAAGAGTTTAGTATTTAAAGACATGTTTTGGAGAATTATTTTATTATTAAGATTTAGATGAAGTAACTGATACTTCTTTCTGAGCTGTACTTAAATATGAAGCTAGAATAAGCCATTGCTTAGCTTAGTTGAGATGAAAAAACAGTGCTCAAATAGTCCTGTCAAAATATTTCTCTAAACATCACTACTAACACTTTACAGCTTGCTTTCTCATCGCTCCCAAAAAGCGAGGTGTAAAGATGTAAAATATCCCAGATTGTTCACTTGTGATTAAAACATTTCCTGCAGAGCCCCCTAAAGATCATGGCAAGAGTTTTCACTTGCAGGACTAGTGATGACACACAAACAGCTCATAGTGTTTGCGCATTTCATCTGAACAGCAGTAGATCCGAACAAATTGTTTAGTGGAAAACCACGAGGACTCTCATATAATAAGCTTTTTACGTAACCATCAATTGATAATTGCTTGTTTCAAGTTTTATTTTTAAAATTGTTGTTACACATAACAGATGTTTTTAAAATTCAGAAGACATTTACAACTCTGTTTAGAAATTTTGCAAGCATTGAGAAATAGTTCCACAAAACAGTAGTTACTGAATATAACTCGTGTTCTGTGAATGTAGGCCCTCCTAACAGGCTTTCAGACCAGATACAATGAAAGTGACTGAGCTGGATATTAGTGCCACAATTTAGACTGATCCACTCATTCTAAGCATACCAGGCAAAGATACATAGAATAAAGCAGAGATTTTCAAAGTGTGGTCCTAGTGGCCTGTGAAGGTACTACATGTAGCCGTGCAAGAAATTAAAAAAATAAATAAATAAATAAACCAATATGATACCAAAGAAAGATTTACTTTTATATTTAGGGCAGGGTGACCCCCGGAAGATTTTCTGATTTTAAAATGGCTCAAATAAAGGGATGTAAGTGAGTGTGAATCTGGCTTGTAGTATAAAAATGGGTTGAGTGGTGTATCAATACTAGTCTGTTTACCACAGTAAATGTGCCGGCTTTGGTACAAATCTTTGAATCCTACTGCTGTGCACCATCTCTTTCGCTGACACCTGCTGCAGAATTGAATTTATATCATTATGGTGACACATCAGTTTAAGTTATTATTGGCTCAAAAACATAAATATGGGCTCTACTGTGTATCTGGCACTATAGTGCCACATATATTTAAACACAGCAGTAGGTGAAGAAGAATTAGTCCCAAATGCTTCATGTAACGTTTCAATTTCCATAATATCTGCAGGGTTTCGATTTTGTGGCCGTCAATACATAACTGGATTAGACAAACACCACCAAAATAAATTTCAAAGAAAACTTGCTTTGATCTTTAGCGCTATGATTTCTTCTTTAAATAAGGAGTTCCTCTGCAGCTTGAGTAATATTGCACCTGCCAGAGGATATTTCTACATATGTTTGAATCATCAGAAAAATGTTAAAGCTTATTACACATTTACAGTTGTTAGTGTATTCGTATGACTAATGTTGATTGTGTTATTCTTAGAAAAAAAAAACAAATGTTACCTTTAGTTGTTGTGTTTTAGACATAAATATCATTATGGTATTATAATAATAAATCAGGGATTGTGATACAGGGGTATGTTATGTAAAAAGTAATAAAAACTAAACTCTTTTGTTAGTGTGTTTCTTTCTAGTTAAAAACAAAGTGTTGTGTTTAAATCATCCACTGCTTTCACCTCCCCCCAGCCCCTGTCCTCCTCCATGGTGGAATGGTGGAAAGTATATTTACTCATTCAGTATACACAACAGTTAATTTGACTAGTTGTTATATACAAGTAGTTATATAAAATGAATGCAGAAAATGCTTCTTTTTTTTTTTTTTAACATCAGGGCATCTGTATAATAGTAAATGAATGTGGGTGTTCTCTATAAAAAAATACTTGCAAGCAAATTTGCACAGCGACATCTTCTTCACTGTAAAGAAAGTAGCACTGTAACTGAAAGATGAAGGGCTAAAGCCTTTCAAAGGACGAAAGAGGCTCAGCCTGCACACAGTTGTCTTTAGCTGTCAGCCTTGTGTTGTGGCAACACTGTGGAGCAGCCATTGAAGTTGTGATGGCTGGTGGCGTTTGTGTCTGGTCCAAACAATATGGTCCAAAGTAACTAATATTTACTGTAAGAGACAAAGCAGTAACACGTCAGCAGAATTTTTCTTTCAGCTTGAAAAGCATTAAAGCTGCACTCAAGATGTCAAATAATGTGAGAACCACCGGTGAGATATTCTGGAGGTAACTCACAACCCCTGATGCAGCATCCCTTCACATGAAATAAATGTTGAAGCCTGTGTTTGCAATGCAGTACACACATACAGTGATGTGAGCTGATTTGAAATGAAAGTTGAAAATATAATGATCCACACACTAAAAGACAAAAGCCCCTGTTAAAGGATTTTGTTTGTTGTGACATCTTGTGTGATGTTTTCTGCCTAAAATCTGAGATGTTACAAGTATCCAGTTCCAGCTCCAGCAAGCAAAGAGGGACTTTATTTTCATTTTAATTAAAATTAAGGGTTTATTCACTTTTATTTTCTTAAAGAAAAGCAGTTTTTTTGTCATGAGGTCTAGTTCCTGCCTTTTCTTCTTTTTCTTAATCTTTTTGCTTTTAGTTTTCCCAGGACTCACTTGAGAGATTATATCTTTCAGCTTGCAGTGCTCCACAGGATAAGCCGGAGGAAGTGACTGGGTAGAGGAAAGTCTGGGCTTCTCTGCTTAGGCTGCTGCCCTTGCAACCTGGCCCCAGATAAGCGCAAGAAGATGGATGTTTGTGGTATAAAAGGGGATTCATATAAAACAAATAAAATGTGTAACCTCATTCAGAATGACATAACTTTGAGATTTGAGAGATATTAAATTTTCAATAACAGACTTCAATTGTTTGGTTTGTACAGCATATTGACAATATCTGCACAATAACACCTGTTACAAGTGCATCAAATCAAAAAACAAGGGACAATCTTATATATCTCATTCTGAACAATTAAAATCTAAACGTAAAGATAAGGTTTTTATGTATTTGTTTTGTGTAAAGTAGCCCAATATAGCCATCTAGTGGTAAAATCTAAAAGTGACTTTAAAATTTCCAAAATAAGAAGCAACAAAAAGGTAAACGCTGGTAAACACCAATTTACATAAAAATAAATAAATAAATGCACAAATTTAGCATATCTAGTGCAGTTGCTGCTGGATTAAAGCAAATGTGTCCAGGTCTACAAATATTCAGCATATATGTTGGTGATTGGCTAACACACAAAACCATGAAAGTAATTTATCTCAATATTAGTCTGAAGTGATGTCACTTTAAGACATCCCGATATGCTCCAGTACCAGTTGGTGGGTCACCTCCACTGTGCTGTTCTACGCACTAAGCTGCAAAAACAGACCTGAGCACACAAAACCAAAATCTTTTTTTCTCTCCAGGCACCAGCAAAGCTATGAAGACAGTGTTTTTGTTTCATAGAGAGTGCTCCATAGGGTTTAACGTTGTTTTCAAGTTTTGTTTTGTTTTTTACCCTTTTGTAAATCATTTCTCTCCCTTTAGCGTGTTTCGGTTTTTACTTTGAATCATTTGGACCGGAAATACACATCATCTTTCGCGTTGTCGCTTTATTGTTAAGGATCGGACCGACCGGATACGGTGTTGTTGTTAGTCCAAAACGGAACATGAACTCGGCTAACAGATGTGAAAATTAGCGCTTTTAGTGTGTTTGTTTTGATTAGTAAGGTGGAGACCGGAGAAGAGGTAGCATTTTTTAACTGTCTGTGTGCCGTGTACTGATCAGAAATGAGCGTCACGTTGGATATAAGGCTGAAAAGAGCAAACAAAGTTTATCGAGAAGGGGTAAGTTGCCACAGCTAGCTAGCACCAGCAGCTTCT